CTCTTATATTGTTTAAACTTATCTTAAAGGTCAAAATGAATATTTCAAACTTGACCTTTTTTGATCGGATCTCAATTTCTTACTTTTTGCCTATTTATGGGACGCTATATCTCAGAATCCATAAGAGTCAAGTAAAAAACGGATGGAACATATTTAAAAGCTACGTTGAACAAAAATCGAAAAATAATAATTCATAACAAAGATAACTGACAAATTGTAAATTTGACCTAGAGTTTGACCTTTTGCCTAGATGAAATTTGACTTTCTGAGCAAGACAGTCGCATACATTAAAATATAAATAGAGTTACCCTTGTCGTTTTCTAACTGCTGAGAAAACGGGTCCAGGCAATAATAAGAATTTTCGATCTGGGTTGCATATTTTATATAAAAATGATGTATAAAGTATAGTATAAAGTAAGAAAATAAAAACGATTATTTTAGACATTGATTAGTATTCTGATAAAAAGCGTGAACGTCTTACCAAATGTACGCCCCTGTATGGTTAGCATTTGATACAAAACTGTAATAAAACTTACGCTTTGACATCTGCTAGCTTGTAAGCTTTGCCATCGCTGTCCAGAAATCTCTCTGGCTTGAAAGTAAGGGGGTCAGTGAAATAGTGGGGGTCATGATGGGCTGTCCATAGATTCATCCATACCTGCAATAATGAATACTCAAAAAACTGGCCATGGTTTCTCGTACACCATGTACACCATGAGTATAAAGCCCGGGGTATAAAGTATCAATATGATTATTACACACGTATGGTTGCTACACAAAACGCGGTACATGCAAGTGAGTACCTGTGTATCTTTAGGTATTTTATATTGGCCGAGACTTGTATCACATGTGGTCTTATGGGGAAAGCCCAATGGAGCCGGAGACATGAATCGAAAGTTCTCCAATATTACTGCCTCTGTAAACGGCAGTTTTTCACGGTCGGCTAGAGTTGGAGATTTGTCTGCAGGAATTACAGCTTGTATCTCCGAAATAAGTCTCTCTTGGACATCCGGGTAATTAAGCATAAGCAGGATGAAACAGTCAATGTGTGCTTTGGTAGTCACCGTACCTGGAAGAGCATTTACATCACAACGATTTCAAAGGACTTCATTAAGTACAGGGTGTTCGAAAAAACGCAACCCAAAGAAATCGCTATATCTTGAAAAACGCTGGTTCAATTATGTTCATTTTTTCAGGAAGGAAATAAGAGACTGTGTATGTATTGCTCCTGACCTGTAGATTGTTAGTTGTAAAACATGATGCCTTGGACACCTGCTCAAAATGAATCTATTTTTCCTAAAATTGGATCATTGACCATTAAACTTTCATAAGAGTTTGTGCCCATTGTGTGATTTAAGTTAAATAAACAATTCGTCTTGGGTCTTAGGAGAAAATAGTTTTTCCTAATACCTAAAACTCATTGTTTATCCCTATCAGAATTTCACCTGCTACGATGGTTTCATATAATACACTATTGACATTGTCCATATCTATGAGTCCATCATCATAAGCTGTCAGTAGTGTGCCTAGTACAGTTGATATGCGTTTGGTATCCTTCAAGTTTGATTCTTCTGACTGGAACACAGATATAAATACATCTCGCAATATTGCGTGTTATGCAGTCGTGATAGCAAACGGTGAGTGGAAGATCGCCCTGCTGGTGACCTTATCCAACGAAAATGGAGATTATATTTCACTTCATAGTAAGTTCGGACGGTGACTCTGCATAGCACAACATTAATCAAACGTTTTAACTTCTATTTACAAAAACGATAAATATAGAAATTACAATAATATTAAGGAGGTTTAACAAAGTGAATGTCCAATTAGTGATGGGTCCAATAACAGTGTAGATTAAGATCATTGATTAATAATCCAATATCCAAAGACGAGAGAATCTAATAAACAGAAACTCCAAGAAGTAGCAAATCCCACCGAACAGAAAACAGCCACCTTGAAAATTTTTCTTGAACAGGTATCAACAATGGTGGCTTTTTTAGCTACCCTCTTGGACATTCTGTCTTGAAGAGATCTCCTTTGACTCTAGACATCAGCATATAAGATTTTACTTTTATTTGAGTTATCAGGGATTACATATTTTGACAAATGGCGGCCATTTTGATTAATAGTGACAGCCCGCCTCTGTATTCCGAAATGACATTTCCCGAAAAATCCTGCTTTAATTAATCCCTTTTATCATCATCAATTTGCTTGAAATTGTTCATGCCATTAGGTGAAAAGGCGAACAATAATGTCTAAGGGTATAGGGAAATATTTTGTTAAATGTTAAAATTAAATGAAATAAAGTCAGAATTTTTTTTCATATTGTACCTTGGATCTAAAACTATCAATCCATGACTTAAAGATGTCACTTCCAACTTTGTTCGCTTCCATTAAATCTCTGTAAGACTTTGTGCCAAAGTGACGAAGCCATGGAAAGATATCCAACTCCTGACCAAACCCTTGCGCCAAGTGTTGCTGTGCACGATGCATCTTATCTACAGCGACGAAATCATCCTCTATGAAGTCCACATTTTCTCCAAGTATCTGTCATTTACAATAAAAATACTGAAAGTTTGTTAAAGAACTGGGTTAAATTCGGCTTGGACTATTGCATGGTTTCTCTGAACTATAAGAAAAATCCATTCTCATATGAATATTTTAATTTTCGAATTTTGTATTTTTTAAAATATCAATTATCGTAAATTGTCCCATATTCGGTTTTACTTATTGGGGGTAAACTATACGTTAAGGTTAAAAACGTCTTACCATAATCATACACATACTCTTTTTTATTTATTTTTATTTCTCTATTCAAACATTACAAGTACAATAATTAGAACAATTCAGATATTTTTCACATCACCTCCATTCATTCAGACATTTGCAACAGTCATACTTTTAAGTTCAGGTACATAATAAAACATATTTTTTTCAAATTGCGCCTCATACAAATTCGGATTCACTTCGTCGAACTCTTTTATAAAAATATAGGACTTAATTGCAAGGGTAAGTCTATTTGGTAAGATATTATTCTCATTAACTTGCCTTCCAAAACTGTAAAAAGCAAAAATAGCACGTTATATTACAAAAGCTGGATTAAATCTGGGTTTATGTATGTCAAGGACTTCTTTGACAGGCAGGGTGTTTTTAAAAAGGAAAAAATTATTATTGAAAATTGAAGCATCGAGCTCAAAACTGGATGGTGGAATGGCTTACATTAAAAAAATGTTTGACTGTATTTACAAAAGGTTTAGATACCACTTATGGAAATTACATTAATATAAAAGATAGTGAATATGTTCTCTTTAAAGATGGATTTAGGCATATAAATACAGTTAGTACGAAGATTGTATATAAACATATAATTGAAGAAAATGTAGAACGGGCAATTTCTGAGAATTACTGGTGCAGAAGTTTTAAGTTGGAGCATAGAAATAGTCTCTTTAAGCGAGTTTATGTAAGGAAGATAAATAATGTGTCTTATAAAATTCTTGCTCAATTTAACTTTAAACTTCTGCATAATAGCATTGCTTGTGGCAAAATGGTTTCTAATTGGCATGTAGGTGTAAATAGAAATTGTATGAAATGTAGAGAGACGCAAGATGTGAAACATTTGCTATTTGACTGTGAATTAATAAAACCAATATGGGAGAAAATTGAAAAAATACTAAAACTTAATATCAGATGGCAGGACATTGTACTGGGCAATATAAAAATCCATGAAAACAAGGTCTCAATGTTCAGAGACTTATTATTGACTATTGTTGCTTACACTGTTTATTCAAACTGGATAGCTTTCTCGGAAAAGGCCGGTCTCTTTATAAATCTGAACTTCAAGTCAAAAATAGCTTGCAACATTGTATTTTTCGCTAATGTATATGAACATTCAAATTGTAATCATGCTTCATTCTTCGCTAGGCATTTCATACTATTTTTAGATCAATTTGTTTCATAATTGAACTGTATTATTCATGTATTTGTACATATGTTAAAAGTTAAATTGAATAAAAAAAATAAAAAATATCATGGGCATTAAAGTCGAAATCAACTTTAAATAAACGCTTTAAATTCCCTTTGATTGCTTTCAGAAATATTTGAATCCTTTTGCACTCCCAGAATTTGTGTTTTAACGTATCTCCAGAGGCACAATAATTACATTTAGAATCTTTTTTAATGCCTATCTGCACTAAAAAGGCATTTGTAGTACAGATACCATGAAGTATTTTAAATTGAAGTTGTCGCGTTTTATTCTGTTTCGTACACATATAAGGCATCTTAAAATAATCGGTTCTGTTTAATTCACGATCATGTTTGTCTTTATATAACAGTTCCAAGAACTTGTTTCCATTTAATACTGTTTGAATTGATTTAACCGTTAAACTAGAAATTGTCACCTGTTTTCCACCAAGTTTCAAATACATGAATTCTTCCTGTATGCTGGGTTCAAAGGTCGAATTTAAATCCGATTTCAATAAAAGTTTCCAATCATTCGGTATAGTCGATATGATTGAAAAATACTCAAGAAAGTTGATATTAATATTATACTTAGTTTTAAACCCATTGTACTGTACAAAATCCCATTTTCGTTAAGAAGGTCATTAATATAAATGGCTCCCTTTTCCATGACATGTTTGTACATCACCTCCTAATCATTAATTAGGATTGATTTGTTATTCCAAATTATTTCACCTTTAACCTCTGAACTGGTTCTAGGCGGCGACATATTTCTTAATTGTGAATAGTTTCGAAGCAAATTCATATAAAAGGTAGGAACATTGTGTGCCAGTGTTTTAATATCATAAGTACATTGCAACAAAAAACTCAGTCCTCCAAGACGCTTGAAATAAACTTGAGGAATAAGTGTGAGTAATATAAGAAAGGTTAAAATGATGCAATATTAAGGACAGTTTTAGTAATGAATAAGGTAATGTTGTTGACCCCCCTATCACACCAAACTAGTTCTTACCCGTTCTATTCTCTCATCACTACCCGTCATTCACTTGGCACCCGTGTTTATTAGTAGCGTTATCCCGCAAGACGGGGTTGACAAGACACAAATGTTTGTTCGATTATCGAGGACTCATTGTGCGTAAAATGTATGTATACAGATCAAATTAACGTTAATAATCAAGCCTATATAAAGTATAATGATATCTCAGTGAATCCTAAAACTATTAATACGTATAAAGTGAATCTGATTGGCACCATTAAAACCTCTACTCTTATTATGAGAGACCGAGGACTCCTTAAAAGCTTTAAAAAGAAACCATCTTCATCTAAACTGAGGTTTCTTTGGAGATGAAAAGGTATGTCAATCAAAACCACTATCTACATGTATATTATTACTGAACAATACTCTTACAAGAGTTGATACATAATGTTTGAAATTTACGAATACAACACTGTAATGTGAATATTAAAACGAAGTGTATGTGTTGACTACACGGTGACAAAGCTCAGAATGTCTTTCTATACACTCTACCTTCACCACGAAAACATCCACTCACTCACATAACTCTACATTGAACTGAACTCATCGTTCAGCCAATAGAAAGCATTTATGTTCTAAAGTCGCTACGCTCCACCGAACATAAATAGGCATTCTATTTTCTCATCACTACCCGTCATTCAACATAACACCAACTTTCAGTTTCAAGGAATGAGAGCACTTGGCACACAGAAAATCTAAAGAACGGGAAAGATATAGAACAATAAATTGATTATGTCAATTTGAATCCACAGATTCTAGATACCAACACTTTATAGATAAAAGTATCAGTCTTCGGCAGAAATACTTATTCAACAATCCTGTCTTTAAATGTCGGTCAGTATTTGAATTATTTTACACTGAACCAATGCTAAAATATAAAGTCATCTCAATGTAAAGCAAAAAGCAGCAAACCCTAAGTTACACATTGCAATGTCTCCAAGAGGTATAAAGTTCAATGATCGCTTCGTGTTAGGAAGAATCATAACAAACAATGCTGTAACTGGCTCCGTCTGCGATTGTTTGAATATCAGTTCAAATGTCCCATCGCTGATATATTTGACTGATGTTGAATCACAAATGTTATGAAGTCCATATGACGTATATCCATCCTATGTCAGATTTGACAACATATTTGTCACAAGACAATTGTACATTCTTTCAGTTGTGTTGATCAGCCCTTTAGCACAACGGTGCTTGCAACATCTGTGCCAAAATCCCTTAGTTCGGCATATAAACATCACTTTACTTTAATTACTGCTCTACCAGCCTGGAAATATATCCATTAACAAATTTTAAATGTATAATTACAACAATATCTTTAACAATAAATCTATTCGTGAACGATTCACTGATTTTCCAACAGCTCATCTGCAATTCAGCAATATCTAAAGAAAATTTTTCAATATAAATGGACACCATCCAGATCAAAATACCTGAAAAGTAATTGACCAATGAAATACATATAGAAATCATCAGGTTGTATATTGCCTATCATGACATGTTTACCTGTGAATTGTAATTATTATGCAGTGGTACATTACACACGTCTAAACTATAAACTTGTGTCAGCATATACATCGTAATCTCACATATATAGAAATGTCGTTAGCAATTCTCATTTTGTGCACTATCATATATAACCTGGTGTATTCACGTGCATTTCTCAATATGTTTATCTGAATATCTCTGCGAGTTTACCTAAACATCTCAATGTTTACCTGAACATCCCAATGTTTTTGCCTATACATTTCAATGTGTTTACATACACATCACATTACATCTGTATATCCCGTATGTTTCAAGGATTTTCCAGTTTTCTTGCCCGCGCATTACAGTTTGCTAACCTTCAAACCACAGTGTGCTTACCTTCACATCATATTGTGATTAACTGCAACCATGGTGTGCATATCTACACATCAAGATGTGCTTACCTACACATCACTGTGTACTTACCTGCACATCACGATGTGCTTACCTGCACATCACAGGGTGCTTACCTACACATTACAGTGTGCTTACCTACACACCACTATTTACTTACCTGCACATCACGATGTGCTAACCTGTACATCACAGGGTGCTTACCTACACATTACAGTGTGCTTACCTACACATTACAATGTGCTTACCTACACATTACAGTGTGCTTACCTACACATTACAGTGTGCTTACCTGCACATCTCGCTGTGCTTACCTGCACATCACTGATACCCTGCACATCATAACGTGCTTACCTGCTCATCAAAGTATGCTACCCTGTACATCACGTTGTGTTACCCTGCATATCACGGTATGCTACCCTGCACATCGCTGTGTGCTACTCTGCACATTACAGTGTGCTTACCTGCACATCACAGTGTGTTACCCTGCACATCACGGTGTGCTAGCCTGCACGTTGCGGCGTGCTAATATACACATCACACTGTGTTACCCTGCACATCAGGGTGTGCTAATCTGCACATCACAATGTGCTACCCTGCACATCACGGTGTGCCAGCCTGCACGTCACGGCGTGCTAATATACACATCACACTGTGTTACCCTGCACATCACGGTGTGCTAACCTGCACATCACGGTGTGCTAGCCTGCACGTCACGGCGTGCTCATATACACATCACACTGTGTTACCCTGCACATAACGTTGTGCTAACCTGCACATCACAGTGTGCTACCCTGCACATCACGGTGTGCTAGCCTTCACGTCACAGCGTGCTTATATACATATCACACTGTACTAACCTGCACATCACAGTGTGCTACCCTGCACATAACGGTGTGCTAACCTGCATGTCACGGCGTGCTAACCTACACAATAAAATGTGCTACCAATCACATAACTTTGTGCTTACTTACATATCTCAGTTTGTTAACCTTCATATCACAGTGTGTTTACGTACACATCACAGTGGCTTACCTGTACGCGCCATGTTATGCATACATACATGTACACGTCCCGTTTTAATTTATCTGTACATCACAGTGTGTTTACCTGCATATAATGGTCTGCTTACGTTCAACTATCAGTGTGCTAACCTTCACGTAATGGTATGCCTGCCTTTATATTACGGTGTGCTAACATTCACATCACGTTGCATGTCACAATAATATGCTTACCTATGCATGCATCACAGTGCGGTCACTTGTAAATCAGTGTGTACGATCTGCAAATCCCATTGTGCTAGCCTATATATTACAATGTGATTTCATGCACATCCCAGTGAGAGTACCTCTTCATCGCAATTTGATTGTATGAGCATTACAGTGCTTACATGTAGATCACAATGTGTTATCTTGTACACCACGTTATTCTTACCTGAATATCACTGTTTACCTCCACAGCAAAGTATCTTGATATGCTAACCTGCACCTAGTGATGTGCTTACCTGCATATCATGGCGTGCTTTCTTGCACGTCATTACCTGTCCATTCGAATATGCTAAGCTGTATAAGATGTTAATGAATGTTCTTACACAACCCAGTGTGCTTGTCTGTATAGCAATTGTGCTAAATGCGCAATACATGCATTTGCTAATATAAGCGTGCACATTATCTTCAATGTGCTGTATCAACAAACTAATATCTATGTCAAATAAACCATTGCTTTAACTATTTAGCCTGTGCCTGATTATACTGTAACTTTAAAATGAATCTTAAATCTTAAAGCAAATACATGTTAACTTTTACCACCAAAACGTGTGAATTAAACTAACTACTCTGACTTTACCCGGGTCTTGTTCCACAAAAGGATTGTTTGAAAACGCCTCTTTTTATGATTTTAAAAGCCTAAAGTCAAAATGTTAAGCTTTTGCAACGCTAAAGTTCTCATTGCATTACGTTTTAAAATTAATGAACAACCTTCTTGATGAAAGTAGTGGTTCGAAATCAAGCTTCACTGTCCTGTCATCTAGATCTACAAAAATGCTTTACGATTGTCTACCCTGGAATAAACTCTAATTTCAACTCTATATTAACCTATAACATTTTTAAAAATGGGCACATCCAAATGCCTTCGTATTAAGTTTTGATAATCTGTCAACCACAATTCTAGTTTTGACGATATTTCAAGTAAGCTTATAAAACTACTTTATACGTGTAATTCTTTCTACATTGAAATATTTTGCTTTCTTTTTCTGAACAATTACTGTGAGAAAACTCACCTTTGAAAATAACGCCTGTGCAAGCACTATCAAACATCATCATCACCATCTTGTAAAGTCATTAAATAACTGATTATCTAGCCAAAAAGCGTTTTCCCAATCAAGCCTCTGTGTTTACGAGTTAGTAAAACATGTCGAGTCTTTGATTAACGTTTTTAACTAACTCCTATACGTTTAAACGTGTTTGATCTTTTCTGAAACCTGTATTTATTTGAAAATCTAATATGCCATTACTTGTTATCAAGTTGAAATTCTGAACATTGACCACTAAATTTGATCTTTCTACAAATTATTTCTTTTTACTGCCTGCTTTATATACCCTTTATTTTTTAAACGAATCGGTTCATCTAAAATAGCTAATGTGAAACAAACCTATCAACTTTTGAATATCAATCTCTCAGTTCTAAAACCGAGGAAAAGAACATAAAATACGAAAAGAACTTGTAAAGGCCTCCCAATTAAGGAAACACTATAATAACATGTTGGTACAAGTACTTGTACGTACATAGATTGAAATCTACGAAGAAGACCTCTAAACAAATCTTGTAAGCACCGAACTACTGTCAGTAATGTAAATCCCTGAAGAGATATCTAGCATTTCAAACAATAACATAAGAAAACGTAATAATTTAATTGGCTACTTAACTTATTCGTGATTGCAGTAGTCGTTGAGCTCATTGCTCCCAAAATGACCTTGATATGGCCCAGCTTCGCCGCATTGAAACCAGACATCGGTCATCATTGGTAATCATGCTCACCCGGGCACTGCCCGATACTATGTTGTCGTAAAACAAGTTGCGACCTCTTGAGTCTAGTGGTACATACAGTTGGGGACATAAATAAATGACAGGTGGATTTGCTGAAGTGAGGATTTCCCATGTTAAAAATAAGAGAATTTACAAGAGGCCATGAATCAGTGGATGAGATTATACAAAATGTAAAATATACAAATTTTAAGGGATATGTATCTAGACAATATTGGAAATTATGGGCTTTCAGACAACCATAATTAGGAAATGGTGATCGAAAATCGACCTGTCATTTATTTTTGTCCCCAACTGTACTGTAGGACATCCAGAACTTTCTGAAACGTAAAGGACCTCGAGAAAGCCTTTGTTACCAATTTTGTTATTTTATTTGAAGCTTCTTTTACGCTTTTTTTTATATATAGATGTTGATTGTACTATCTGAGGTGATTGGAGTCATATTATTAACAGTTTATAACCAAAAGACATCTAACGTACCTGTTCAAACTAATCAATTTATTTTTTCGTAATATAAAAGTTTTACCTTCTGTAATATTCTCCTCATATGACTGTGCTATTGTAAGTCAGCTGTTTCAACTATGTAGTAACGAGTAATATGGAGGTTTCTTCAAATGTGTCTTGAACTTTCGAATTAAATTCGACAAAAGTTGTCTAATCTGTTGGTTTATTGAATAAAACGAAGTGTATGTGTTGACTACACGGTGACAAAGCTCAGAATGTCTTTCTATACACTCTACCTTCACCACGAAAACATCCACTCACTCACATAACTCTACATTGAACTGAACTCATCGTTCAGCCAATAGAAAGCATTTATGTTCTAAAGTCGCTACGCTCCACCGAACATAAATAGGCATTCTTGCCAGTCCTACGAAAACGTCGTAAAACGGGCTCAATCTGGCTGTGGTCGGGAAATATGTCTAAAATAATTATTTTATTATGTAAACTCTTACACTTACCGTAATATGCTACTAATTGCCTTAATCCTACCATATAGCCTTTCTATGGTGAAACTTATACATGTATGTATTTCGTGACAACCCTGTCTCCGTCACGAGTCTATGACCTCAATTTTATCCACCATTTTCTTTCGTAAACAGGAAAATTTTTCTATGTGAAAACAAATCGTTTAATTTAGCTTTAGTATAGTGAATTGAGTAACTTTGATAGTGCGTTGTTGTGCAAAAATGTCGGATAGTTCTAAAAACGAACGTAAATCTGATAGAGAAGACACAGATAAAGAACATTTGAGCAGTGAAAATCGGAACGTCGATAAAATTTTCAGAGTCAAGATACGGTGAAAAAACACAGAACTGTATCCTTTGACAAGAAAAGAAGTAATACTAGCTCAGGTAGTAGTACTTCTAGTTCACCCAGACCTAAGTTTCAGAAATCTAAGAGATCTCGTCGGGACTCTAGTTCTGAACATAGCAGAGATCGACGACGTCGATCTTATACACCTGATTTGAACAAGAATAGACCACGTCGTGCTGGTCATACTTCTTGTGAGAAATCCCGTCGGGATTCAAGTCAGGAAGATAGACGTGAACAACGTCATCGTTCACGTGTATCAAAGAAGAGTAAGAAGAGATCACGTCGTGCTGATACTTCTTCTTCAGATAGCTCAGTGTACAGCCAGTACAGTGAGTCTAGTCCTAACTACAGGAGACATGGCCGGCATCGTCGGTCATATTCACCTCATAAGGGTTATAAGAAGTCACATCGTGCTGACAGATATCACAGGGAACATAAAAGGCGTTTTCGATCACCTTCATCTTCCCCTGAAAATAGATCTAGATATGATAAATTCAAATCTCGAAGAATAGATAATCATAGTTCTAATGATACGTCAACTCATATGCCCCAGGTTCAAAAAAGGGCATACTTTGATTATCAACAGCGTGAGGATTTCACACGTTCAGTCCCATCGTGCGGACTTCCTTATCAAAAGTTTGACAATGCTGGTGAATCAGCTTTTTCAGTCGGAAATAACACTTTTTCGCAAGAATCGCGTAAATTTCCTATGCGTTTTCTACAATCTCTTCCTACTATGAGGCAATCGGACATTCCTCATGGAGGCCATTCTTTTGAAGAACGTGGTACTGATGTTTTTCCTGGTATGTCTAGACAGGAGAGACAACTGAACAGAGATCACATGTATTCATCTCCTCCTGTTGTACCACGTACTACTTCACTAGAAGAAACTTTTTCTTTAAATGAAGACATTGAAGAAGAACAGCCAGCAGTGGAAGTGTCCATTTCAGATGAAATGACACAGGCAGTAAGTATGGTAAGAGACTGCTTCCCAGATCTTATAGGTGAGTTGTCTACACCAAAATCGGCATATAAATCCAAATCTTTAGTCAGGGATAAAACACCCATTGTGCCAAAATCACTTGAATTGCCACTTTGTCCGGGTGTTAAACACAATCTGGCTGAAGGTGTTCATCTTTACAAGGATTATCCTCCAAATGCGTTCTTGAAGGATTTTCCTAGCTTTGACAGCAAACGGTTTAAACTTAATAAGAAATTATATCAAGTTGTACCGTCAGAAGCTGGAGTTAAACCCTGTGAATTAGATGTTGACTTTTCTACGATAGTCTCATCTAAATTCAAGAATCAAAAACAGGGTAACACAGGTCAAACAACCAAGTCCGAGTTAAACCCTCGACCTTTTCTGGCCATCAAGACAATGGCAGATTGGGAGGGAGTTGTAAGAGAGCAATTGCTAACAACATCCCATACGGAGTGGTTCATAGGCACAGTGAAACCTCTTTTTGAAGAGTTATTTGCACAAGGTAACACTTCGGAGGAAGATGTCTGGAAAGAGAAGCTTGAAAA